TAAGCACTGCACATCATATGCACGTATGATGAGCAAACTGCCCCCGGCCTTGCAGTAGATGTAGTTTGTGTTGCACTGGGCCCGGCGGCTTGTGCCTGTGTTGACTTTTTAAGTTTCCTTTGGGTTTGTGTCCTCACCGCGTGGTGGCCATGCCCTGTGACATTCGCCACTCGGGTGGAAGTAGGGACGCGTTGCTGGTTACGTGCGAAGGTTGTTTCAATAGTAATGTTCATGCGTGACATTACTTTAAATATTAGCATTTAAAAGTTGAACACAAAAAGTGTTTTTTTTCTTTCCCGTGGCATTACAGTAACCGACGACGGGAGGATTGTGAGTCCTCGAGAGGTCTCTCTGTGTGCCGTAATGATTGCCAGTCCATTCTTGATCCCGGCTCTTTAGTCTTTAGTCCTCGGGGACCTTTTTGGTCAACTGAATCAATCCCAACAACTGGCACATGCATTTATATTCGCTGAATATAAATCACGTTTGTAGACTAGGCTATAATGTGTGTTGTGTTGCACGCACATGAAGATAACTGGCCAACGTAGCCGCTCTCGAATTGACAGTCCCAGAAGCACCAGTTTTTATAAATCCACTGTGTTCAACTGCATCACTTTGTGGAAGTGACCTCATCGCAACGGCAAAATGTGTGGGCAAGGCTGCGAGCGTTGTGCATGCAATGTAGTGCTCATGTGACACGCACGCACGGCATGATGGGGAGTCGTGCCTGTCAGCTGTTTGTGTGTCATTCATTTGCGTTGTCGTTCCTTTAACCCGTGGCGTGTGCAGTGCGCACTTCAACGCGGAAAAGTGCGCACGGCAACCGCTGCCGTCCTCGAGTCGCGAACGGTTGTGAAACTCTTGTGTTTTAATTGCTTCCTGTGTGGCCACAAATGCGGTCACATTACCGGAGTGCTGCGCTGCAATCTCCCTGGGCTTCCCTTGACTCCCAGAACAGTCATCGCAACCAAGAGCATGGAGAGCGACTACCAGCCCCTGATGAAGAGCGTCATGCAGCAGGTGTCCCAGTACAACAGGCTGCTCCAGGAGGGCCTGCAGGGCGGCAGGGCCTGAGGGCCTACAGGATTGGCCACTGCGCTCGGGCTGCCACCTTTTCCACTTGGACCAAACCCGGACACGTTTCTAAGTCGGATTATAATTCCTGCCACCCGCAACACAAGATGATACATTCCCAGACTCTCTGGGTGAAACCTGAAGCAGGTGGCAACCCTCCATTCTGCCCACCACATGTTCAATTGCTCTGACACTCGTCAGCCCCATCAGCAGTCAGCCACACCTATTGATCCGCCCAGACTGGACGCCTGTGAAAAATAGAGCTTCGTAGCTCATCGGATTCCTGCAGTCTAAATAACGATTTTGATTGTGAATGTGCTGACGTGCAACTGGCACTGTTGAGCTGGCACAGGTGCAGCACATTTAACCCCGCACCCTCCTGCACTGCAGAAGCAGCGCCTCGGTTGTCTGGGGAAATAACCTGGCGATGGTCGTGCTTTTTCGAGCGGCGGGAGGGGGCGGATGGGGGTGGAGAATCTGCAGGTGCGTTTATTCTTGAGAGCGTCTTGGCGCCGGCTCATCGCGTGGCTGCCTTCCCGCTCGTCTGTGGCTCTTCCCCGCGCGTCCGAGTCGTTCTCTCGTCGAGAATGAGCGAATACTGTTTGCGTTATAATTTGAAATAATTACTTATTCGTATGACGCACTTCATTCTTATACTACATGCCTTTTTTTCATGAAATCTATCCATAACGAGGTCTTTAAATAACCATTATCAAATGTGTGTAACTGCTGTTTTTATTTGATATAAATAAAGCCCGTTTTTTTTCTCGTTCGATTCCATGCCACGTGTAGCATGCATTTAATTTTGTCGTTTCATGTATCTCTCAGTTCAATGGCATGCGAGCTTTCATTTCCCTATTACTCGTCATGATGGCTACATACACAGCAGGAGCAATTCGTGACACACTGATGCAGACTTTGTCAGTGCTTACCAAGCGACCGAGGATATTTACGGTGGCAAGGGGTGAGGGTAAATTATTCCTCCAAGCTTGTGACCCTCCTTAGGGCAGCAGTAGATTTAATAACTTATTGCTCGATGATGCTGCGTATGTTGTTGAATAGTGTTAAAGATATCAGCCCAATCTGCTTGGTTCACTGGCAGCTCCTTGTCCCAGCTGCCCAGTAGATAACATCATTGAGTCGTGACAGTAATTAAATAGATTGATTTTAGAAGCTCGTGTGAAGATAGTAAGGCGATGGGGGGGGGGCTTAAGTATTGAACCAATACTCTTTACGAGACGATGAATAAGCAGACCATACACATCGTGTCTGCTGTCCCTCGTACAAAGGCCACACCGCCTTCTCGGAGTGCATCTTCACGGCATTGATTCAACACGAGTGGCCGCTGCTGCCGCCGCCTCCCCGCGTATCCGCGTGGTTCCTCGTCGCGCCTGAGTCGTTCTGTCTCCCAGAGTGAGCCAAGACCGTACATTTTACTGTTCAATTATAGAGTCGGTATTCTTGGTTCTTTCGGTAAAGTCACGTAGATATGTTCAAAGAAAATAACAAAAATAATCATATGAATGCCTGCAGTCACGGTAGATTTAAGTCAAGATGTAACCGCCTCTACGGGGAGGGTTTGCACACAACTATTAGCAGCCTGGTGACGACTGCTCGCGTTGCGATCGAAACGTAGTTTTTTTGTTATTTTATTATTTATTATTTTCTGTCGACGTGACTTTACCGAAAAAACCAAGAATATGAATTCCTGCAGTCACGAAAGTTTTAAGTAAAAATGTATAGAGTTGGCTACATTCGAAGTGGGGCTCGGTGGAGAGACTGTCAGCCAAAGGATTCTCATTCTGCCTGGTGTCCCAACGCCTCCCTCAGCTGCAGCCCCTTCCCCGCGTGCTCAACGCGCGTCGCCCCCAGTGTGGGGCTCCGTGGCCACCACGGCTTGCTAGGTGGTGTCGGCGTGGGGGCAGCAAGGAGGAGGAGGCGTGGGCCAGGAGATGGCGGTCGCTGAGTCTCCCTCAACACCCCCCGCCTCGTATGCCGGCGTTATGGGTTCATGTCGCCTACCGTGTTTGTGTGTTGTTGTTGTTGTAATCTTCTGACCTCTTGCCCCTGCTGGACTTCTGTGAAAAAACTGTATAGCTCATCGGACTCCTCCACTGTAAATATTCTAATTGAGTCTTGAGTTCTCTAGTTTCTCACGAACGCGAAGCCAGCCACACGCGCTCATCAACGATGGAAATTATCCTCAAACATGGCACGAGTAATTATTAGTCTTGTGCCCGCCACGCTGGCAAGCCGTGCGTCGAGGAAGAGCCTCGATGCCAATGTGAAGGTCTACTCGCCACGACGAGAAGGGCCCCCGCGAGGCGGCGAGTCGGTGTCGTGTTTGCGAACTGTCCGCCGTGGGAGAGTAAACTACAAACATCGCAATGCGGGGTCCTCTTGAATAAAAAAAGGTCGTAAGCCTTGCTGGATGAATAAAGGCCTAACTTCTGGATTGTTATTATTACGACCTTTGAGGCAAGTCACAGTGATACCGTGTGGTCTAGGGGGGGGAACCACCATCGAACTGCCTCACTTCTAGATTTGTCCTCTAAAGACGAATACAGAAACTTCCTAAGCGGGGCGGAGGGGGGGGCAGTGCCTCCAACGCTGCCCCCAATCCTGTACCTGAGTGGGCTCTGCCTGGTAGGATGATGAGGATGGTTGAGTTGTATCTGTTTGGGTGATTTGTTTACCTTTCTTGTACTCTGTGTAGGGGTGTCAGGGGAAGGACTCCCACCAATAGGAGGGGGAGTGGGACGGTGACAGGAGAAGGTGGAGGAGCAGGCGAGGAGATATAAGGGAGAGAACGGGCGGGAACGAGATTGGGGCGGCTGGGGACAGGTGTGGATAGGAGGAAAAAAATCAAAGACGAACCCCCTGCAACCGTGTGTCGGCTCTCCTTTACATCTGCACTACGATCACGTTTTTTTAATTTGTTGTGACGTTCTTATACCCGCCCCGACTGGACATATGAAAAATTGCTTTATAGCTCATCGGATTTCTTCAGTATAAATCGATATTCTGATTGTTTCCGCCACTGCCGTCCACACCAGCGCGGCCATGCCACACATCAGCCGCGTGGGGTTCCTTCTTAGCAGTGCCATTAGTGAGCAGCAGCAGCAGTTCAATCTCTCCGATTCGCACGGTTGGCTGCGTACGGTGCGAAATAAGTTCGACATACAAACAACGCTCAGCGGTCGGGCAGACTTGAACCAACAATGTGAGCTGTCGTACGTTCGACACGTCACGTAGGCTTTCGCGACAGAGTATTCATCATGTTTGGGTCACATCGCGTGAGTCAAAATGAGTTGTCGCACATCATTCAGCACCTGATATCCAATTAATATCGTTACGGGAATAAAGGTTACTTCTGCTTTAGCACACAGGAGTGTTAAAGATCAAACCCACGCGCATTGAACAATGTCAGATGTGTATCGGCAAACACCCTCGCTGTGCTATATGTGTCCAATAGATCGACTACTGTTCATACATCAATACGGCAAGAACACAAACAACAATAAGCAGTTAGCTTACTCTGCTTACTCGTGCTGTTACAGTTTCCACGACGTTCATTGTTCAAGCACAAGTTTATCTTGTGTTGAACAAAAAGTTGCTGAATATTGTGCACGTGTGGGCCGATGGGGCGTGCGTAAAAAAGACTAATAAATAACATCGTTATCTACGTGGACGGACATTATATGTTGCGCTCGTTCACGCTGTTATTGTTGATGCGCCGTTTGACGGAGCTGCCCCGACATCCCTGACAGAGGCACGCAGTCTGGGCAGCAGCGGCTCCCTGGAGGGGCGGGGGAGGCGGCGTTGATGAAGTGGGGGGAGCAGTGCCGAGGAAGAGAGAGATGTTTTGATCAAACAAGTCGTGGACCGATACCCACCCCCCACCATCCCCACATCCTGCACCGTGGCCCCCACTCCGCCCTGGTCCCGGCCGGGCTGGCTGATGTCATGCGGGCTGGAGGCGCAGAGCCACCCCCTGACCATTCACTCGCGACGCAGCCACCGACAGTGGTCGTCACTGCAGCGCCCGGGAAGGTCTCGGGGACGGCGCCTCTCTCGATTTCACCTCGCGACGGCGCTGGGGCAGGGGAGGAGGAGGCTGCGGCTTGTGATCGCGAGAGGATTTTGACCGACTCCGCCGCTCCACACCGCTCGGAGACGAGAACCCGCGCCCGGGGTGGAGTGACAACAAGGAGGTGGAGGAGGATGGTGATGATGGCAGCGTTGGTGATGTGGCCTCTGCGCCTCGCCTGCTGCTGCCTGCCGTGGCTGCCGCTCAGCACGGGGGGGCCAGGTGAGAGTTCGGGCAGCGAGGTGATCCATGGACTCCGTCTTCTTCTTCTTGTGTGGGGTCAGCTGCTGCTGCTGCTCGGATTGTCTCCGTCGTGCTGCTATTTCTGTCTCTCCGCTACAGTCACGTCCACCGCCCTTAGAGGCACTCATAGGGTTACGTAGGGACATCCCGTAGATATGCGTAGAGATGCACGTACAGACCTACAGACTCGCGTGATCGTACGAGACACGCAGACACATACGTAACCAAAAACTCCGACTCAGAGACACATAACACAGAGCCCCATATATATTCATATTATCCATAGACCTGCATAGAGACCCATAGCATTTACATCTTCCAAGCCAAAAGTCCTATGACCGCACGGGTTATCTCTCCCCATGGGCTCGTGTTGTTGGACGCCTCTTGCTCGAGTCACCTCCAGGGGTCCTCATCTGGCCCCACGACCTTCTCCCATCTCCACACTCCCTCTCCCCCTGTTCTACACCGGTGGCATCTCCAGAGCCCTTCTCAGACGGGTGGTCTCCACGCGAGTCCACGGGTCTCTGTGTGAGCCTCTTGCTGCTCGTGATGATGAGAGTGATGGCTTGCCCAACTGTTTGAGTTGGACCTGGACAAGGGCACGTATGTTCGAGTGGCAGGAATGGATTTGTCCACAGATCTGGTACCAGTTTAGCACTGCGCGTTATCTCAAGCAAACTGCGCGGTTTTCATAATCGACTCGCGACGACTGATACATGTGCCTGGGTTTGGTTTTTGTAAACGGCGGCAACCCCCGCGGTGGTGGGGATGGTGATGATAACGGTGGCGAAGGTGGTCGTGATGATGATTCTAGCGATGGTTTTACTTGGCTGCCTTACATTTCCACACGATGATGGGCCACTTCGATGGGCCGTCATTTGTGGCCAGGTCGCTTCTCAGGCAGAGCGATATGGCTCAGTGAGCCTCACCTGGTGAAGTACAAAACATCGCTGAGTGTGGGCGAAGCTTCTCGCAGAGCCTGCCATGCGCGCGTGATACTCCTGCTGATGCTGATGGTGGTGGTGGTGCTGATGGTGGTGGTGGTGATGATGATGATGGTGGTGGTGGCGGTGATGATGATGATGACGACGACGCCCGGCACCAGGCGGCGTCATGGACGTGACCCTCATCAACTTCGGTCCCACGGTGGGCGACCACAAGGAGACCGCGCTGCTGTGCGTGGCGGGCGAGCGCGACGTGGACCTGCGCCTCACGCGCGAGCTGGAGCCCGTGATGTCGGCGCGCCAGGCCCCGCGACTCGAGAGCCAGCGCGACTCCCGCCGCGTCAACACCGTGCGACTCACGCTCTCCGCCAGGCTCAGCTGGGCGCGACTCGGCGTCTTCAGCTGCCTCGCCAGCAGCCGGCGGGGCGCCGACATGGCCGTGCTGACGACCACCAAGATCAGCGAGCGCGGTGCGGGCCTACCCCCCCTCCTCATCCCCCCCCCCCTCCTCATCTCCCCCCCCCCTCCTCATCTCCCCCCCCCTCCTCATCTCCCCCCCTCCTCATCTCCCCCCCTCCTCATCCCCCCCCCTCCTCATCCCCCCCCTTTTTCATCCCTCCCCCTCACCCCTCCCTCCTCATCCCCCCCCCCTCATTATCCCCCCCTTCCTGATCCTTCCCCCTCCTCATCCCCCCCTCACCCCTCCCTCCTCATCGCCCACTCCTGATCCCTCCTCTTACGAACCCCGGCCACCGAGTTCGAATCTTGCCCAGGGCCCAAAACACAGAGCGGCCGAATATTTGAACTGGTTCCTGGGCCTCACCTAGGTCGACTCAGCCTTACACGAGTATGTGGTGCGGTGTGTGAACTGAGCACTGGGGAGACGAATGTGGCTGGGGCGTGGCGTTGGCCCCCCGCCTCGCTAACAGCACTTGCCCCGACAGTCTTTTTAAGACTATACGGGGGATCTTTGCCTTTGAGTCGGGGACACAGTGGGCAGCTCAGCTGGTGCCACCCGTCACTCGGCCAAGCCGCGACACCCGCAGCGTCTGTCCCGTGACCTGCCAGCGGCGATGTCTTTCACACGCCACAACCTGCACCTAGCCTGGCACTAGCACCATCGTGACGTCACCGCCACTGAGTGACCGATGAGAGCTGCTTTTGGGGGTAGCGAGGGTGGACGTGAGTCAGCCTGGAGGTGGCGGGGAGTGCGGTGTGTGTGTCAGTGCAATGGGCGATGATGTGGCATTTGAAGTTCGCGGTGGGAATCTGGTAGGCGGCCCCGGTAAATACTGCGGTGGTGTGGTATTAGCTCACAGCGTCCATTAAAGACCCCGTGAAGTCATCAAAGAAGAGGAGCAGGGCATCGTGCGACAGCATCACAGTCCGCATTTCCCAAATTAGAAAAATACCGCACGAATGACTCGATTGGGGAACGCAGAGCAACCCGTCGCCCCACCCCCCTCCCCCCGATTGCAAAAATTTGGCAGGACCCTCCTGCAAAAGAGGAGACTCAGCGAGGATTTCCTGGGAAAATAAGTGCAATGATGGCGTCTTATGGCATGCCTGTTTCACCGAGTGTCACCGTCATTGTGCGTCGCCGTGTGTCGCGGCCATTTGTCGCCATGAGTCACGGTGTTTCAGAGCGTTGTGTCGCCGTACGTCACCGTGTGTCACTGACCACGTGCCACCGACTGTGTCACCGCAGCCTTCTTCCTGCCGAGCCGCCCCACAGTGACGGTGAGCCGCGGGGAGACGGCCTCCATCGAGATGATGGCCATCACTAAACTCAACGAGGACATCATGTGGCTGAAAAACGGTGAGCCCGGCGTGCTGGCACTCCTCCTTATGTGAAGCATGGTGACGATGATGATGTAGATGGCCATGATGCTGGTGTAGATGACCATGATGACGGTGTAGATGGCCATAATGACGATGTAGATGGCCATGATGACGGTGTAGATGGCCATGATGACAATGTAGATGGCCATGATGATGGTGTAGATGGCCATGATGACGATGTAGATGGCCATGATGACGGTGTAGATGGCCATGATGACGATGTAGATGGCCATGATGACGGTGTAGATGGCGATGATGACGATGTAGATGGCCATGATGACGATGTAGATGGACATGATGACGATGTAGATGGCCATGATGACGGTGTAGATGGCGATGATGACGATATAGATGGCCATGATGACGATGTAGATGACCATGATGACGATGTGGATGGCCATGATGACGATGTAGATGACCATGATGACGGTGTAGATGACCATGATGACGGTGTAGATGGCCATGATGACGGTGTAGATGGCCATGACGACGATGTAGATGACCATGATGACGGTGTAGATGACCATGATGACGATATAGATGACCATGATGACGGTGTAGATGACCATGATGACGGTGTAGATGACCATGATGACGATGTAGATGGCCATGATGACGGTGTAGATGGCCATGACGACGATGTAGATGACCATGATGACGGTGTAGATGACCATGATGACTGTGTAGATGACCATGATGACGATGTAGATGGCCATGATGACGGTGTAGATGGCCATGATGACGATGTAGATGACTATGATGACGGTGTAGATGGCCATGATGACGATGTAGATGACCATGATGACGGTGTGGATGACCATGATGACGGTGTAGATGACCATAATGACGATGTAGATGGCCATGATGACGGTGTAGATGGCCATGATGACGATGTAGATGGCCATGATGATGGTGTAGATGGCCATGATGACGATGTAGATGGCCATGATGACGGTGTAGATGACCATGATGACGATGTAGATGGCCATGATGACGATGTAGATGGCCATGATGACGGTGTAGATGGCCATGATGACGATGTAGATGGCCATGACGACGATGTAGATGACCATGATGACGGTGTAGATGACCATGATGACGATATAGATGACCATGATGACGGTGTAGATGACCATGATGACGGTGTAGATGACCATGATGACGATGTAGATGGCCATGATGACGATGTAGATGGACATGATGACGATGTAGATGGCCATGATGACGGTGTAGATGGCGATGATGACGATATAGATGGCCATGATGACGATGTAGATGACCATGATGACGATGTGGATGGCCATGATGACTATGTAGATGACCATGATGACGGTGTAGATGACCATGATGACGGTGTAGATGGCCATGACGACGATGTAGATGACCATGATGACGGTGTAGATGACCATGATGACGATATAGATGACCATGATGACGGTGTAGATGACCATGATGACGGTGTAGATGACCATGATGACGATGTAGATGGCCATGACGACGATGTAGATGACCATGATGACGGTGTAGATGACCATGATGACGGTGTAGATGACCATGATGACGATGTAGATGGCCATGATGACGGTGTAGATGACCATGACGACGGTGTAGATGACCATGATGACGGTGTAGATGACCATGATGACGGTGTAGATGACCATGATGACGATGTAGATGGCCATGATGACGGTGTAGATGGCCATGATGACGATGTAGATGACCATGATGACGGTGTAGATGGCCATGATGACGATGTAGATGACCATGATGACGGTGTGGATGACCATGATGACGGTGTAGATGACCATAATGACGGTGTAGATGGCCATGATGACGGTGTAGATGGCCATGATAACGATGTAGATGGCCATGATGATGGTGTAGATGGCCATGATGACGGTGTAGATGGCCATGATGACGATGTAGATGGCCATGATGACGATGTAGATGGCCATGATGACGGTGTAGATGGCCATGATGACGATGTAGATGGCCATGATGACGGTGTAGATGGCGATGATGACGATGTAGATGGCCATGATGACGATGTAGATGGACATGATGACGATGTAGATGGCCATGATGACGGTGTAGATGGCGATGATGACGATATAGATGGCCATGATGACGATGTAGATGACCATGATGACGATGTGGATGGCCATGATGACGATGTAGATGACCATGATGACGATGTAGATGGCCATGATGACGGTGTAAATGACCATGATGACGGTGTAGATGGCCATGATGACGATGTAGATGGCCATGATGACGGTGTAAATGACCATGATGACGATGTAGATGGCCATGATGACGGTGTAGATGGCCATGATGACGGTGTAGATGGCCATGATGACGATGTAGATGGCCATGACGACGATGTAGATGACCATGATGACGGTGTAGATGACCATGATGACCTTGTAGATGACCATGATGACGATGTAGATGGCCATGATGACGGTGTAGATGGCCATGACGACGATGTAGATGACCATGATGATGGTGTAGATGACCATGATGACGATATAGATGACCATGATGACGGTGTAGATGACCATGATGACGGTGTAGATGACCATGATGACGATGTAGATGGCCATGATGACGGTGTAAATGGCCATGATGACGATGTAGATAACCATGATGACGGTGTAGATGGCCATAATGACGATGTAGATGACCATGATGACGGTGTAGATGACCATGATGACGATATAGATGACCATGATGACGGTGTAGATGACCATGATGACGGTGTAGATGACCATGATGACGATGTAGATGGCCATGATGACGGTGTAGATGGCCATGATGACGGTGTAGATGACCATGATGACGGTGTAGATGGCCATAATGACGATGTAGATGGCCATGATGACGGTGTAGATGGCCATGATGACGATGTAGATGGCCATGATGATGGTGTAGATGGCCATGATGACGATGTAGATGGCCATGATGACGGTGTAGATGGCCATGATGACGATGTAGATGGCCATGATGACGGTGTAGATGGCGATGATGACGATGTAGATGGCCATGATGACGATGTAGATGGACATGATGACGATGTAGATGGCCATGATGACGGTGTAGATGGCGATGATGACGGTGTAGATGGCCATGATGACGGTGTAGATGACCATGAAGACGGTGTAGATGACCATGATGACGGTGTAGGTGGCCATGATGATGGTGTAGATGGCCATGATGACGATGTAGATGACCATGATGACGATGTAGATGACCATGATGACGATGTGGATGGCCATGATGACTATGTAGATGACCATGATGACGGTGTAGATGACCATGATGACGGTGTAGAAGGCCATGACGACGATGTAGATGACCATGATGACGGTGTAGATGACCATGATGACGATATAGATGACCATGATGACGGTGTAGATGACCATGATGACGGTGTAGATGACCATGATGACGATGTAGATGGCCATGATGACGGTGTAGATGGCCATGACGACGATGTAGATGACCATGATGACGGTGTAGATGACCATGATGACGGTGTAGATGACCATGATGACGATGTAGATGGCCATGATGACGGTGTAGATGGCCATGATGACGATGTAGATGACCATGATGACGGTGTAGATGGCCATGATGACGATGTAGATGACCATGATGACGGTGTGGATGACCATGATGACGGTGTAGATGACCATAATGACGATGTAGATGGCCATGATGACGGTGTAGATGGCCATGATAACGATGTAGATGGCCATGATGATGGTGTAGATGGCCATGATGACGATGTAGATGGCCATGATGACGGTGTAGATGGCCATGATGACGATGTAGATGGCCATGATGACGATGTAGATGGCCATGATGACGGTGTAGATGGCCATGATGACGATGTAGATGGCCATGATGACGGTGTAGATGGACATGATGACGATGTAGATGGCCATGATGACGGTGTAGATGGCGATGATGACGATATAGATGGCCATGATGACGATGTAGATGACCATGATGACGATGTGGATGGCCATGACGACGATGTAGATGACCATGATGACGGTGTAGATGACCATGATGACGGTGTAGATGACCATGATGACGATGTAGATGGCCATGATGACGGTGTAGATGGCCATGATGACGATGTAGATGACCATGATGACGGTGTAGATGGCCATGATGACGATGTAGATGACCATGATGACGGTGTGGATGACCATGATGACGGTGTAGATGACCATAATGACGATGTAGATGGCCATGATGACGGTGTAGATGGCCATGATAACGATGTAGATGGCCATGATGATGGTGTAGATGGCCATGATGACGATGTAGATGGCCATGATGACGGTGTAGATGGCCATGATGACGATGTAGATGGCCATGATGACGATGTAGATGGCCATGATGACGGTGTAGATGGCGATGATGACGATGTAGATGGCCATGATGACGATGTAGATGGACATGATGACGATGTAGATGGCCATGATGACGGTGTAGATGGCGATGATGACGATATAGATGGCCATGATGACGATGTAGATGACCATGATGACGATGTGGATGGCCATGATGACGATGTAGATGACCATGATGACGGTGTAAATGACCATGATGACGGTGTAGATGGCCATGATGACGATGTAGATGGCCATGATGACGGTGTAGATGACCATGATGACGGTGTAGATGGCCATGATGACGATGTAGATGACCATGATGACGGTGTAGATGGCCATGACGACGATGTAGATGACCATGATGACGGTGTAGATGACCATGATGACGATATAGATGACCATGATGACGGTGTAGATGACCATGATGACGGTGTAGATGACCATGATGACGATGTAGATGACCATGATGACGGTGTAAATGACCATGATGACGGTGTAGATGGCCATGATGACGATGTAGATGGCCATGATGACGGTGTAGATGACCATGATGACGGTGTAGATGGCC